TAAACATCAGGTCATTTATTTTATTTTTATAATATTAAATTTTCTCGTCCTAAACAAGTGCATATATGAGAAATTTCTCGTATACATTATAAAAGTTTTCCAAAAGTGAAAGGAAAACAATATAAAATTCCAGGTAAGCCTACATACATACGTATAGTTGATATACTTCGAAAAAAAGGATTTATTGTGACTTTGAAAAGCAACTCCTTTTTTTTTTTTGTTTTCTAACTGAAAAAGTTACTCTTTTGTTTTATTTATCTTAAATGCAAATAAAAAGTTTAATTTTTTTTCTTTCTTTTATTATTTTTCCATTCTTATGTTGTTCCAAATGAATAGAGTCTAGAATTTTAAAATTTTCTATTGTTTAATAAAATATTTCCCATACCTTATCTATATACATATATACCTTCTATACCTATAATATAACAATTTAAAGCTGACTAAGGTAAGCTGGGCTATAATATTATTAGTCATATATATACAGAGTGATTCAGAAAGGTATACAACAACATATTATTATACAATTATAATTAGAGGGTCAAAAATTAGTAAAACTTTTATTCAGGAATAAGTGCAAAATCTCAAGGATTTCCGAGTTACAGAGATTTTAATTGCAGCATTTAAAATCAATAAAAATCAATAATAGAGAATATTTTGTGATTTTTTATTAGGACCTTTAAAATCTTGACATAGAAATTGTTTTTCTGTTATGTTTGAGGGCTTAAATTAAAGCTAAAGTTTTAAACTTCAAAAAAAGAATTTCGAAGTTTCTAAAAATTTCGTACGAAATTATTGGGTTAGAGAAAACTAAAAATATATAAAAAAGGAAAAATTTTGATATTGGTTAAAGTTCGAATGTTTGATATTCCAAAAGTACATAAAATACAAAACCAAGTAACATGTTGATTTTAAGGCAATTACTAAGTATTTCAAAAACTATTTGTTTAAAGACCGTACCTTTTTCGGAACAGAAATTTTAAGTAGAAAAACTTGAACAAGTAGAAATTTCGTGAAAATTCTTTAAAATTTCTGTAAATCGGAAGCTGAGAGTAAAAGTTTTACTAATTTTTGACCCTCTAACTCTATGTTGCTATATACCTTTGTGGCTCACCCTGTATATTAAACACAAATATATGCATGTACATCTTTATATGATTTATTCGTATGCGTATGTGCAGAACAAAATGAATGAATGTCGAATGAACAAAATATTATTTATTAAAAATTAATTGAACGTAAAGATATGAAATAGTAGAGAAAATATTAGAAATTCAGATTCAATCAATTTTAAAATTCATATACAATACATACTCGCACATACATTTATACATAGTTGAAAGGATAACAAAAATATCTTTTGTTTTCTTCTAAGAAATTAAAGTGGATGAGATGAAATTTGTACAATTTAAAAAAAATATTATAGGTTGATTGATTCGAATAGAAAATTGAAAAAAACAAACAACAATTTTTTTTTTGTTTTTGGGTTAATTAAAATAATATCAATAAAAATCTAGTTTGTATTTAGATTAAAATTATTCTTTAGAATATTTTCAAGATATTTTTCAAAAATGATTTTTTTTCATAAAATTTTTGAACTTATTTGTTCGAATGAACTTCAAAAAAAAAAATGAAAATTATTTATTGATTGAAAAAATTCACTCAATCGTAAATGATGCTTTTTTGTTTATTAAAATTTAAAAATGATTTTATTAAAAATGCAATATTGCTATTATTATACAAAATTTTTTAATTCAATTATACATTTAATATGAATGATTAAATTGCAGATTTTATAAATTTTGAAGAGCATATTTTGATTTTTTGAAAAGTTTTTCATTGTTTCTCGTATGTGTTATCCTTCGAAATTCAGAAAAATTAATTAAAAATACATTTGTAAAATATTTTTAGAATAGCAACAATGGGGGTGCATAAGTACCCTTTTTACAATTCTAAAACGATTGAAATTGATTTATTGAACTTGCTTAATAAATTGAATAGACCTAATTCAGTTTATAAATCTTTTTCTGACAAAATTAAATTTTTCGCATATTAAAATTTTGATTTTTGTTTATCGCTCATTATATAAAAATTTTAAAATATAAATCATTCCTTGTATGTACCTTTAATCAAAAACTGAAATCTATAAATAACACATACCAGTTTCGGTTGTGTTATACATATAGTGTTTTATAAACAATGTCTTGTTTAGGACCCCCTCATAAATGATTGAGCTATTTTAGTGCAAAGCTTGAAAATAAATTCAAACTAAAGTTTTTAGTAGCTCAATGAAATGCCATTTGTAGCACATTAATTTGAGAGGCACAAATCTATGAGTCCATCAATATAAAGTTATAATAAATTTTGTATAACATCTGCAAATTTTAAAATACTTTAACTAGCAACAAGCCACAATATATAAACTTCAATTTTATATAATGTTCGAATAACCGAATTTTTAAGTTCGGTTTGGTATCGAGTCCAGTGGGGGCTTGAATCATAAATTCGATATGAGTGTGCCAAAATAATTTTTTTTTTGTTCCCGTATTCAGTATAAAACTTGGAATTGATTTTCTTTTTGGCAGCATATTCGAGAAATTAAAAATGCAAAATTTTCAAATGTAAGTTTTGATAAATCTTTCCTGCAAATTCCTTTCACGTTTCCTAGCTAAAAGTTCTAAAGCGTTACGTTTGAAAAAAATCTAAAATTCTGCAAAGGAAACTTGCAAAATTCTTGCAAATCTAATGATTACTGAAGAATGCACAAAATGATTTCTACCTGATTTATGCAAAAAAAATAGTTGGAATCAATTAAAGAACAAATGCCCGACTATGTAGCTATAAAAAGAAATCTTTATTAAATTTACAATCTTCACCGCATCTATTCAGTATTAAAATATTCAACTGTCCTTTAAACTCATTACTGAAAACCCAGAGAAATAAAAACCAAAATTTTACCAAACTATTATTATTCAATAAAATTTTATAGCATTTAAAATAAATTTTGTTATTTTCATAATTAGAATTAATATTTACATTTTATCAATAATATTTTGTGTTAAGTAAATCCCAAAAGTCATAATGTTAAATTACATTTGATCGAGCTGCAATAAAAAAGTAATATAAATAACAATTACTTAAGTTATAAAACCAACTATAATGGTAAAATAAGTTTATGCTCCCATCTTCCAAATTTATCCAAAACCAGAATGTAATAATATCATAAGATTTTTGTTCTAAAATAAAGTAGATGATTTAAGCAAATAATAATAATTTCCAAAATGAAGTTTCCTATATTATGCGAAGAATTTTCATTTCTCACAATGATTTTAATTCTAATTTTATGTTAAATTTTCTATTTAATTAATCTAATTACAGCATGTTTTATAAATTGTAGAGACGTTATTTTAAAATTAATTAAGGTATAGTTGTTTTCTAGCCGCTTATTTTGATTTAATACGTTTATATATATAGTGTCATGAATGATTAATGTAATGGCATAGATTTCATCAGAAAAGTAATGTGCAAAGGAAGTAAGTATAAATTTAAAATTATTTGTTGAGTTGAATTAATTTTCGATTATTGAGCTCATATAAATATGTTTCTGTTTTTTTTTTCTTTCAGAAAACCATGGGATTCCTCAAACACTTTCAAAGAATTATTAGAACTGAAAAACTTCATGCTGAAATTAAACGTGGAACTTTAAAGGCTCTGGAAAAGGAAATTCTAACTCTTTCGAACGAAGTTTTCCGAAAACGATTTTAAGTTTGCACCGTAATAATTTTTCTTCATCATGAAGAACTAAAATCAAGCACAATAACAAATCATCTTTTAATTTTGAAATTTTATGACAAAAGGTAGGACAAACATATTCAAAAGCTCTGTAATTAATTTTTTTCAAATAATTTTGTGAATAAGAAAAACTTATGTTAAATACAAAAAATTTTGATGAAAATTTTCCAGGGAAAATTCTCACTTAAAACAAAAACAAAAATCAACGTAAAAAAAATTATTTTTGTAGAAAATTTTCCGAAATTTTCTTAGAAATTGGCGAAAAACAATAAGAAAAAAATACAAAAAAAAAAAAAAAAACTTACTTCGTATCCTTCGAAAGATAAAGAAGAATTCTGCAAGGAAAATGAAAATATTTTCTTTTTGTTTTTGTTTTTTTTTCGAAAAAGTAATAATATCAAGAAAAATAATGGAATATAATGAAATTTTTAAAAGGATTCCTTTTTCGATACGATGAAGTTTTTATGTTTTGATTGTTGTTTTATGTTGTTTAACATAACGCAGGGATAAATATTTGTATTTTCGGGAATTCATTTTATCTAATTCTTATTTTGTTTTTTCTTCTCTTACACTCCTTTGTTTTTATCTTGTCTTGTATATGAACTTATTTTATATTTTATTCTATTATTTTTGCATTTCATGATATTTTGTTTTTATTTAATTTTCTTTAAAAGAAAAATGTTTAGAAAAAGTTTTGGTTTTTTTTTCTTTTTTGTATTTTTTTAGTTGAAGAGAAAAGCAACAAAAATCCTTTCTTATAGCAGGATAAATAACACAATTTGTGATTTGTATTTCAAATTTTCATTTCAATTCGTAACGTGTAACAAGAAAAGATATACTTAGTATGGGTGCAGGAGAAGTGAAATACTGGGAAATTACGTGCTCACACCGGCGAAGCAGCGGGCTGCCGGAAAAATTTAGTCGAATTCATCAGGAGAATGGATCTCGAAAGGTTGTAGTAGGGTCTTTTTCCACACCTATAGTTGAGGAGCACAATATATATTTTAAAGTAGTTGCAGTGCACTGTTACCCCTACTTTGCAATATACAATCTATCGGTGCAAATAATTTTATTCAGCGTAAGCTCTTAAGAATAAGCTCGATACCTCCTTAATTTTAATCATTTGTAATTTGGGTATTATCTTAATTATTGCATAAGAGCAGTTAAAATTTTCTTATACTGAATGGATTGGAATACGACGCGGAATTTACTTGACATTTGCCATCCTAAAAATATATAATAGACATTTTTACTGATAAGTTTTAATGACGAATTTAATCTGTATTTCAGGTATCTTTAAAGCAATTTATTAGTATACTTGCCGTTTAACACTTTTTAATCTATTATTCAACTCACTTTCAATACATTGGACAATCTGAATAAAAAGATTATCTTATGACCTATTACACAATTAGTAAACTTACTAAAGAGTAAGAACGTACACTTCAATAATCTTATTAGATTATTGACCATCGATCTTATAATTCTTTTACATTATTTTTTCTCTTATATAAGAATATCTCAGAGTTGACCCGTTCAACTATAATAATATTTTAGTTTTGTTAATTTTATTTTATTTTTGGTTTTCTATCTTAAATACACGGTATGAGAAAACACACTAAAAATTTACAAAATTTATTTTTCTTGTATCAATAGTTTATTTTGCTTTTGCTAATTGTTAAGGTGAAAAACTTCTGATGTTATAACAATAATTTATAAACAGTGGTTGTATGTAAACATTATGTTTGATTAAATTTCTTGTTCCTAAATTCTTGTTTTTATCTTAAATATTGTTAATTATTTTTAAAAAAATAAGAAACAATTTATACGTATGATAAACTAATAATTGTATTGAATGTTGACTTATTTTAATTTACATTACAGAACTGTTTATGTTCTTTAAATAAATGTACATAGAAAAAAATAGTTTTACAACTAAGTTTATTAATTAAAAATTTTATGAACAAATTGAGGTTCATGTATTTATATAAAATACATTATACTGAAGAAGTTTACTAAGAAGCTATTTTTGTTGTAATACAATCATCTTATTCAACGTTATCTAAATTTTAAGATATTACGAAGCCCACTAGACTCTAGAAGATAAGTTAGTTAGCTAGCCCGTCTGAATGCCAACGCGAAGCTCGGCGCTACGTCAACAAGTAGGAGCACAGGAAATTTTCAATTTAAAAATGGCAAATCTCGCGTTAATCATCAAAAAGAGTTGAGGCTTCCCCAATTCAAGAAACGTCTCCATAGTCACGTTTTCTTTTTCACATTACAAATGGGCAGGTACATGGAACAATGCTCTCTGTAAGCCAAAAAAATTTGTCGAAGACCAAGACCAAGTGATACGATGATTGAACTTCCCCTTGCCGTGTTCCCCTTATGAAACCATCCCTACTTCACTTGAACCTACCGACTATCCGATGGTAGGCACCTAATCCTCTCCAATTTTCGATACCTTCCTATACTCACAGATTTAAGGGAGCCCGTGTAATAGCCTTCACCACATTACTGAAATCCACCTCGACTTCCAAGAAAATAGTCAAAGTATAATATTGTCTTTATCTGCGTATTTAAATCGTGTAAGGTTGTCTCCACAGACGTAGACTTTCTATATGCATACCGTTTAATAGAACTACTTCCCTTTCTTCATTCTTTATATACTTTTTCATTGTCTTTGGCATCCTTTTTATGATCTGCAGCACGCAGAAGGTCAAACTTATTGCAACATTAATATAAACATTCATCCCAAGCTTCGGCACAAAAAATGCTCTGATTTCTCTCGTTTCTAACCTTGTACGAATGATTTATTTGCCAAATGTAGATAAACGCACATACTCGTGTAGAAACACAGAAGATCTTGAAATTTGCTTATTTATTTTTGATCTTAATTTTTTTTTCGTCACTAACTTTTAAGACAATTTCTATAATCAACATGAATACTGTTATAAAATTAATCTTATAAATCATATAACGCGAAATAGCTTTGATTTATAACTTAAATCTGAATATCAAAAAGTCAAGTCAAAAAATATACTTACTCGTAAAATAATTTTAATAAATTCACAATTATGTATGTAACATGTGTATGCTCCTATGAATTACTTATTAGAATTATATTTAAATTATATGGAAGGCAATAAAAAGATATGGTTGCAAAGAAATCATATTATCAAAAATTCTTATCCTACAATTACCATGAGTATGTTTGTTTAAACTATTTCCAAACATATGAGCTAGCATATTGTATTTATTTCTTTATAAACATACTTAACTAAATATCTTATAAAAGTGTTAATTTATATCATAAATAAATACATATTTATTTAATTACACATATTTACCTACAAATTATAATAAACGTCACCTCACGGCCATAATTCATTTTCATATCAAATAAACATTAATATAAAATCAAATGAAATATAAGATGTCATAAAAATATTTACAAATGTCATAAAATATTTACAAAATATTTTACGCTTTACTTGATACACGATGCACAAATCTACGCTACCGAATACGGCAAGAAGTATACTATCGTTATATATAGCTTCCATTCTTCAATAAAATTTAAGGAGCGCAAAGGTATTTGAACTTTCACATTTTCAAATTAAATTCTACCAATGTAACATCGTTAATATGTTTAACAGTAATCATCAACTAATTATTGAACTCTGAGAAGAAGAAAAACAAAAACACAACAATAAAGATAACAGAATATAATTGTGCAATGACGTCCTTATATAAAAATTTTCTTATATAATCAAATATCCTAATACAAATAAAATTATTTTATTTATTTATTTTCCACTTTTCAGTAATTATATTTGAAACTTAAAGTATATTTATATTTTGTTTCTTATATACAAATACGTTGAAGTATTTATCTTTAAATAAATTATTTATGCATATACACATGCACATACTCACTATATATAATATATGCACTCAATGGAACAAAATGTTGATGGATTTAATTTCAATCTTGCTTGTTAAGCATTAAAACATTTTATAAGAGGATTTTTCAACTTCCATCTTAGATTCAAAAAAAAAACAAAAAAAAATAAATTAAAAAACAAGCAAAATTAATCTAGATAGCAAATAATTGTAATGCTATGTCATCAGTTGGGTCAGATTTTATTAATTTTGTTATATTGCATAACATTCCCGACCATATAGTGAAAGGGTGGAAAATAAAATAATTTATTTTTCTTTTCCCAAAATGTGAACAAAGTACATTTTTGCTCATTACGAGTTATTTATAAAAACCATGCAACACAAAAATAAGTTTTCCTATATTCTCGCTATCTTTCTTTGATTTTTGAAATGAATATTCCGAGCTCCTTGTGTTATTCTTGAAATAATTGTATTTCGAGCTATTTAGTAAGCATGTTATAAAGAGTATGTTAGCGTAAACTACTATTTAGTATTAATGAAATTAAAAATACAGTAAGTGTTTCATTTTAAAAAAAGAACTCTTTAATATTCTTCAACACAATTTCTTAACTCTTTAAAGAACAGTAAGCTCGAAAATAATTTATATGTAATATGAACTGTCACGAGAACAACACCATGTCGAATAAATAAGAGTTCATTAGAGACTGGATTTTTATAAAAAACTTAAACTGAAAATCACAAAAAAAATTTTGAAAAAAAAAAAATTCTGAAAAATTGCTCCAATGAAGATGCAAAGTTTGGTCAAAAATGTTATGGAAAAGGACAATTCCTCGAATTCCAATATAATTACGAGTAAACCTAACAATATTTATGGATCACCTCTATAAAGCATATTAAAGAAGGTTGTCCTATAATTTAAATTAATGCATCATTTCCATTAAAATGTATGGTATGAATTCTTTTATAATTTAGTAAGAAATAGATTTTCAAGATTTTCTCAAAATTTCTTTTTCTTTTGAGTTAATAAACTTTCATACTAGAGATTCGATTATATTATATACCTGAACTTATATACCTATGTAGTATATTGTATTATTAAATTGTAGATATTTTTAAAAGCAAATATAATATTTATTTAGTGTAATGACAATTCACGTTTCATTAAATTCAATGCAGTCTCTTTAAATATATCTACACTTGTATTTATTTAACAATATAGTCATGTATATATAATGTATGTGTTGCACATTAAAATTCTGATATTTATTTTTTGGCTATATGTACATATATACATACATACAAAAAATCCGAGGACTAAACTAAATAAACTAAAAATAAATTTTCTACTGTACAAATGATCTCATGCCATATTTTTCTGTTCATTGCTTTCTAAAAAAAAAGAAAAAAATTAATAAACACATTACATAAAAACATGCTTGCAAAATGCATATCGAATATAAATTATAATTTGTATGTATGTATTTTGTAAAATAATATTATAACACAAAATTATATTTATTAAATAACAATACCACTAACTAGATTTTCTGTTTAATAAATGGGGTTATACAATTTAATTTGTGCATTCTTCGAATATATACTCATACGATATACGAGTATATGGCAATGAATTTATTTGTCTTCTATTATAAAATGCCGTTTACATTTCTTTAGGCTGTAAGCTTTTAGATGTTTCTTAAATGGAACATTTTTTTTTTTTATTATTATTTTTATTTTCTTTATTTTAGTTGTGTGCCATTGCTGTTTTGTTAGCTTCATTTTTAATTTATTTCAGTTTTACATGACCTAGAAATTCAGTCAACAAAACAAGGAAAGGAACTAAAAGAAAAAAAAAATTGAACAAAAAAACAGCAGAAATAGTGATTTTATATTGATCGTTTTTTTAGGACATCAGCAGAATATCATCATCTGAGTTCGAAAAGGAATTAAAAAATTTAATAATCATTTAAGAGATGATATACTGCAGCAAATTTCTTCTTTTTATCTTTTTTTTTTATTGAAAACTTATTATAGAAGAAAAAAGTTTTACAACAAAAATTAAATCGATAATTGGGTACAAAAATAGTTTGCCTATTTTTTTTTAGTCTTAATATGAGTAACATAAAAATTCTATTCAAGTATAATTTGAAAAAAAAATTAATTAAATTCTTTAATATTAAATTTTATAAATTTAAATTACGTTAGAATGCAGTGCAGAGTGTAGAAGAGTGTAGAAAACGGAGAATCCCGTAATAAAACTTATTATTTTTGAAATAGTGTAAGAATATTAAATAAATGCAAGAACGGCAAAGAAACGGCACTCACCAAATCAGAGAAAACAAGTAAACTTAAGACTATCTGAATATCCTGCAAGTGTATGCAGATACAAACTATATGAAAGTGAAAAAGGTAAAGCATAATATTAGAAAAATGGTCTGATAATCAAATTAAGTAAGAAGAACTACTTATAATTCTGTGGTAATTATGGAGGCCTTACACTACTATGTTTAGTCGTACAAATTTTTAGCAACAACTCACCATAATCGTTTATTCGAAAAAAAACATGCAGTTTTTGAAGTACATGATTACATTAAATTCGAATCAGAGCTCCGTCGATAAACGAAAAACATTTTTAATTAGAATTGAACAATAAACTAATGAACGACTAATGCTTTTTATTGACTTTAGCAAGTCTTCGTAAACAGATATTCAAGAACACAAAATATAATATCCAAGAAAATATGTAAGTAACAAAGAATTCTTGATAATCAGGGGCGAAATCTCATTGACAGTAAAAGAGAAAGTAAAATTGAATTGGAAATCTTGAAAAGCTTGCAAACAATAACGTCATAATGAGCTGAAAGTATTATACGCATGGGTCAAGAAGACTAGGACACATTTGACCAATGAGTTGTTATCGCAGCCCCTTTGCAAGAAATTCGACAAGGAATACCTGTATAGTGTCAGGATCTCATGCAGATTATTTGGGCTTTTTTGGCATATATGATCGATTAAGGGTTCTCTTTGAATTTTTATAGGTGTCAACTTGATCGTGTTGGAAGTGACATTTTCATGAATTCTAGAAGATTTTTGGATATCATATTTCCATCTCTTTCTCTTCTCACTTCCCAAGCGCTTTTATGGTCGATGAGAGTTTTTTTTGTTGATGAATGATACTTTGATGAATTACTTTTGGGGCGGAGTTTTCGAATTCCACTCATTTTGAATTAGGTGAAATTGTTATTGATGAGGTTTTAGTCTAGCAACATTAGTATCTTTTGGTCATAATTGTTGTCTGGGTCCGGGTTAAGCCCGTTCCGTTGTTTTGCAAAATTTTGCTGCGAGTCTTGCTGGATTTCTTTACAATCAATTGTTTAGAAGAATTCTTTTGTAATTTTGTAAATTTAATTACTCATCGGCTCATCTCTAAAATCTCTATTATTTCCTTTGCGAAAATCTTCTATGAAAAATATAATATCTTATATTTGTTTTAAACCTGTTTCAAATACAATTATTAAAACCCAATTCAAAATTTTTAATAAACTCAAATTTACTGACGGGAAAACAATATTTCACTTAATTAATGAGAATAAATATTTATTATTAACATCAGGTAATTTATTACTTAATAAATTAAAAAAATTTCTGATCCCTACGTTTCAAACGCCATTAAAACACAAGGCCTATGTCGCAATACACGTGCCAGATCGTTTTTCATATTGCTCGAATAATTATTCATATTTAAAATGCTAAAGTAATTAATCATATTCAATGCACATACCCTACCAATTATTAAATTAAAAATTTTAGTCAAAATTAATATGTTTTTTAAAAACTCAAAAATATTTTTGCAAATATTCAATCGATTTTCTCTGAGAGCCTGCATATTGGGAAATTCTATTAGTATGGAAACGACTCAAAATTTAATGCCACCGCTTTTAATTATTTTTATCACTCTCATATTTCATTAACATACAATTATTTTTTGAATTCAAAATAACCGCTCTTACCTTGTCTTTCCCATTATTAATAATATTTTAACTAGTTAATGATTCCTCATATAATTAAAGAGCGCATTGTTATTCGACTTCCATTCTAAATTTTTACATGAAAATAAGCTTACCTTTGTTGATATTAGACTATGATTTTTATTTTCTATTATTTTTTTTTCTTTGCAAATTCTATTTCTCAAAAAGACAAAACATTTTAAAGAAGAACGCTTTAAGTTGCTTTTAAAGAATATACTAAGAGCTTTTAAAAAACATTTAGAAAATGTCAGCTTTAAATAAAAATTGTACAACTCGACAAAGAAAACAAAACAAAACTGTTTTTTTTTTTGTTTTTATTTATTTATCTCATATGAAAAGGAGCCTATTGACTAACGCAATGTAAACATAATAACACATATGTACAAAACCATATGTCGCCACTTTATCATACCCTTAATACTACATACCGTAACACATTCAAAGCTCCATATATAAAAACTAATGTACGTGTATATTCGTTTGTTTATATTTACAAATAATATATGTATACATGTTCATGTCATATACGTTAATATCCCCAGTCGAATAAAATGAAAAATTATACCGGCAAAATGAGATTTTAGTAAACAAAAGAGGAGCATTAAAAAATACCCCAGCAGAAAATTATTCTTATACTTTCACAATTATTGTACAATACATCCTTTTATTTATGTTTCGAAAAAAAAATTGAGGTTATGATCAAAATTTAATACGCATGCGTTAACAACACACCTGTACAATTCTGCGTTATTTACGTAACACAAGAATATGAAAAGGAAAATATTAGCAGAGAAAAAAGTTTCAGTTTTTTTTTTTTTGTTTTTTTTTTTCCTTCTGCCTGTACAGAGAAAATATATCAATTAATGATGAGGGAATAATGGAAAAAGCCTAAAGCCTACACATAGATTAGCTATGTGTACTTGCTTGAATATTAAATAAACTTGATATACAAATTTAGTCCTTAAGTTATATACAAAATATTAAAATAACATAGAGAAGAAAAGATGTGGAGTTGTTCCTTGTGTTAATGTCGAAGGACATTGTTATAATCAATTTAAAGTAATTCAAATATTTGTAAGTAAGTAGGGTTATATAAATGAAATCTCTACAGTATTTTCAAGTATTAAAATAACATATGTGTTAAAAACAATGAATTTTTAATTTTAAATTTTAATGATTTTTTAAATACGATGTCGAACGATTAATTTTTAATAAAATAAGTAATATGAAAAGCATTACAGGCCTGGAAAATAAATAAAGTTCGTTTAATTGTCCGAAAGAAACACAAGATTTTCGATGAGTTCTTTAAACAGAAGCAGTCAAAACCCATAAGATTCCAATATTATAAAAAATTCTTAAAACTAACACACAAAATTTAATGTTAACGGATCACTGAAGCTGCTTTCGACATTCATGATTCCCAATTTTAATTTATATATATATCATTATTATATAATGATATATATAATATTATATATGATATATATATATCATTATTAACGCAAGCAATGTGTACCACCAGAATTCCAAGGCATAAGTTAGTGACTTGGCATAACCCTAAAAGAAATTATCAAAATGTATCAAATCTTCCGACATTGGAAGACATTTTAGTCGTAGTGCCTTCCAGTCAAACTACATCTCATCAGAATTAATGTCAGGTTTATTTTCAAACGATTTTCAGCTACAATAAGGCAGAGTTCAATTTGATAACGCGAACTTTTACAAATGATCCATTTTTCTGCATGCAATGGAGTTTATATAGGGTGTTGCTGTTGTAGATGAGTTTTATTACATAAGCAACTAACTAATCCTACATATTACATAATTATTATTATATATGTGTCCAAAATAACATTATCAGATTTCGAACGGTTCGCTTTGATACTTCGTTTTTAGGAACCCGTTCCTTTCGATTATTTCATATAATTTTCAACAACATAAGCATACTGATATTTTTCATTCATCTACACTTAATTAGCAATTAAACTAAATATATAATATAAAAATCTAGAATTATATTATACGAACAAAATAAGGAAGATTTTAATTTTTTTGTTGTCTTAAAACAGAATATGAAAGAATCTTAATAAAAGTTATACTCCTGCCTACAATATTCACTTTAATTAATTTATGTATTCTCATATAAGAAATAAAATTTATATTTATAAAAAAAAAAACCTATAATATATTCAAAGCATAATAATATTTTCATAAAGAAATTTCTTATTATTCATTCATAAGCATTCAGTGTAATAAGCATACAAAGCAAAAAATGTTATTATAATTAAAAATACATACAGAATTCATAGATTACTAAAAATTTTATATTACAAAGGTAAGTATATGAGAATTGTAATATTACAAAATAGTTTGTGTATATAAATTTATATACAGTCATATGCTAAGGAAATGAAAAGAAGTTGTAAGGCAATATACAACATTAATTTTTATTTATGATAGAAATTCTTTCTATATATTAAATATATGACAATTATTATTATTCTTAAATAAAAATAAAATAAAAAAAAATATTTTTAATACTTTTTCAAAGTTTTCAAATTACATCCTGTACAAATTCCTATTTTTATATTATACAAACACAGGTACACATATACATAGAATATATACACATATGTATATGTGTAATAAAAACATGAAAATTTTAGTTTTAATTTAACAAATATAGACAATAAATAATTGAATATCCTGTGAATATGTTACACATTAGAATTGGAAAAAAAAAACTCTTTTATTATTGTTTCATTTATATACGCAAACATAACAAAGTATTATAATAATAAACAAGCAGTATTATAAATACTATATATCTATACTCGTATATATAAAATATAGTATATATATAGAATTTGTACATAAATAATTGTTAAAAAGGAAACAAGGGTATAACAATGTTATTTCTCCACAAGAACAAATTTATCATGACAATGATGAAAAATAATTATAAACAAAAAAAAAAAAATACAACAAAAATTATGACAAATTAAATTGATTTAGACAACTCTAAGATATTTTTACAAAGTTTTGTAAGATTTTCTAAAAAATTTCCAAATATTAATACCAAAAATAATTAAGATTCATGATGAATAATAACAATTGAAGATATTTAACTATTTTATAGCTGCTTTTTCTTAAATTTTCAACATAAATAATTTAAAGGCTACAAATTTCTTTATGTAGAGGTTTTGTAAGTATACCACTTTCCTCTATCATTAAAAAGTATTGACCAAATGTAAAATTTTATATTGTATTTTATTGAATGTTCAACTGATAGAATTAAGTATAGATTTAATGATAAATTAGTAAAATTTCAATTCGTCGGCTGAGTGCTATTTTGATTCATACGCCATGACTTCTGAATCAAGAAAAACGCGTTTGAAGTTTAACAACACTTTATTTAAAAACTAAACGATGGGATTTCTTAAATTTTTATTACTAGTTTTATGGTAGTTTAAGGAGTTTGACTATAAAGTTTTGTGCAATTTCTTCAAAAAATCAATTCAATTATTGACAATCTTTGAATCATTTAGTTTAATTTTTAGAAATGAAAAAAAATTTAATAGACTAAAAATTTTTTTCAAAAATAAATTGTAATGGAGACAGTTTAATTGTATTGTGACAAATTTTGCCGAAAACTTTAATCCACCAGCAGCTAGTAAAAACTACAAAAATTTATAACGCTCTGATAAACTGAAAGAAGAGGGAAGTTCCACAACTGATTACGAGTTTAATATGCGAAAAAGTAGCAGTTTGTCGTACAGAATGAATTGAGGTTATAAATAGTAAAAATTTCGTTCCGTAACTTCTTTCCAGAGAGAGTAGGAATCAAAAACTACCTTTAAATATTTCTCTATAAATTTTTTTTTAATAATTCATGTATTTGATTTTCGGCATTACAAACAAAATATAGAATTTTTTACCATACTTCAAATATATTTTGTACGAGTATAAAAATTACAAATATAAGTATAATATCCATTAATATATATACATAAATTTTGCATACATAATAATTATAATACATACTAAAATATGCACATACATTAACACATACTTATATCAATTGTGTTCATAATGTAAAAATATTCAATATTGTTAAATACGACTATAGGTTTGTAGGTGCCTTTATTTTAAAATAATACAAAATGTGATATGAGTTTATCATAATGTTTAAG